TGTAATTAAAATTTACTTTAAAATGGTAATATATTACACCAGAATAAAATGTATAAAAAATATACTTATAACGATTGAGTGTACTGTAGTAAATATCAATTGATAATTTGAGTATTATTTTTAAAAATGATTATTTGTACTGTTGCAGTACATTAAATAAAAATTTATATGACAAATTAATTTATTGGATTAACCACTTATATCCAGCGTATTAATTTTAAATGACAGGGATGTACCTGGGCCTATTTCTTGTTAAATGGAAACAACAAACCTGGATATGAGGGGAGCTACACATCTTATTGACAGGAAACAAACCGTTTATTTGTAGTGTTTCCATATTTTTTACGAGTATCTTTCATTAAAGCGGGTTATGAATAATGTACATTATTTTATATATTTTATTATAAAAAAAGTATTTCATTTTTTCAATACATTTTATTACAAAAAGTATTTCGTAGAAATAGAATATTCAGTGTATGTATTTATAGTTTTTGTACCGTAATAAAACGAATTGCTTTTGTCTCAATAGGCCTAAATTATACTGAATAATGGACTTTTCTGCTGAGCTCCGCTCCTTGGATAGGAAGCTTTCGATTTCACGACGACGGTAGGACGTAATGGCGTTACTAAAAGTCATCTATGCATGTGAGAACGTTAAGGTCACCTCGTCGAGTAGATTTCTACGTATGCAGAGAACGTTGGACGACAGGTGGGACGGTCACGCATGAGTGATTCCGTTCTAGCGTCGCGTCGTCGCGCACAAATCGAAAGCTCCCAGTTGTTGCGTTTGTGGGACATGTGTTTTTGGGAGAAACGCCTAGTCTTATCGATGCTCTGATTGGTTAGTTCTTAAGTTTGATTGACACTCCAGAAAGGTCAATCAATCAGTCAATCAATACACATTTATTCAATCAAATGGATCGTGAACATACATAAGCCATAAATTTATATAATAAAGTTCCATTAATTGGATCAAATTATAGAAGCTGTTTTGATTGTCTCAATTGACCCTTACAAAAAAGTACAAATAGATTATTAAAACACACACATATTGAACTGGTACCGTGCACACACCTACACACATACATAAACAGTACTTACTGTATAATTGGGTGCTATATATATTTATATATTAAATTAACATATATAACTATCCAAATAATATTGTTTTGTATGTCATTCAGGTCATTCCGTAAGGTTGGGCCAAACACTTTAATAAACAATTGACCGCTTCTTAAGTCTGACAAACGGAAACGAGTAAATAATTAGTTTCCTTTAAATATTAATTATGCCCACTCTTTCGATCATGAAAAATGTTTACGATTGAAAGTGGGAATTGGCCGTTTATATATTGATACATAAAAGAGGCTACTTGAATTTTTAATCTATTTAAATATGAAAAGTAATCACTGGCCCATATCGAATTGCAATATTGTAAATAAGGAAGAACAAGGGACTTATACAAGTACATCAAGTGTACTTCAGAGCTTACCTTGATAAATGTACGTCACACTACAATAGTCTCATAAGTTCAATGCATGCCTCATTCTAGATCTCAGTACGGTTACTAAAAAAAAAAAAAAATTATAAATCAATTTAATCGAAAAAGCCATCATGACTTCTATAATTTTCACTAAAGAGTATGTAAAAAAAATATTATATATTGATGTTTGCGGTACACCACGCAGATGGTTCTGAAAAGAACTGTTGTTGGTAGAGAATGTCTCAACGTATCGATTGTTGCTTCAATCGTCTTCAGGAGAATAATAAAAGAAAATATTGTAATAATTAAAAATGTTTAATACAATAGTTTGGTAATACCGTGTGAATGGAATCTTCATTAGTTTCTTATGCCATTAGTGATTACTGCCCCATACGAGTAAATTTAACGAGAGAAAACAACATTTTACTACAAAATGATTGTATGAATTATAATAGAGCTATCGCATCCAAGGTTAATGAAGCTCAGAATTTAGATGCCGACCAATCGATACCGTAATTTTGTTAACATTTTTTTTTGGCCTACATAGAGTCTGAGACAACTATACATGTGCATAGTTGTCTCAGATAGAGTATATTGTATTATAGAACTGAGCCCTTAAGTGCATATTGCTAAAACTACAAGGAGACAGGACAAAAAAATTACGTTTTCAGAGTGATCTACAAACAGCCTTTTCTGTGAATCTCTTTAGATTGATTACCAGCCAATGTTAAGGGTTTCTGGGCTCCGGCTATAATATAATTGAAGCGGCATTATTTATAGCCCATACGTCTATTTGACTGGAGTACTTAAAAGTCCTTTCTTCTAATTAGCATTTTCAAAGAATACTTAAAATGTACGCCAACTATGCACTCAAGTTATTAACATAGACAACCTTTATTACCTCAAATACACAATAGGGATATTACATGAACGGATATAATGCGTCTGTTTTTGGGTGATGGGAATAGTAGGCCTGTACTTTATATGTTCGCGATTAATGAATTTTTACCAGCATATCCTGTCTTCCATAACAGCTATAACCACACTAGTGTTTATATTCGTTCGAATTTTTATCGAAAGATAGCTTACATAATATATGAAAAATATCACTTCAAATATTGCATTCAAGCTTATTCGGGCACTGTTCCTGGACACAGAGAATAGGCTTGTATCATATTTAAGCCGTCAGCTAATATTCTCATTGGCGAACTCATTTTAAGCCTCCCTCCCTCACTGAAAATTTTGGAAGCAAAAAAAAATACGTTCAAGTAGTTCAAGACGAGCTACCCTACTTCACCTTCGTGCCCCGATCAGACTACAAGGAGACAGGTCAAAACAATTACGTTTTCAGAGTGATCTACAAACAGCCTTTTCTGTGAATCTCTTTAGATTGATTACCAGCCAATGTTAAGGGTTTCTGGGCTCCGGCTATAATATAATTGAAGCGGCATTATTTATAGCCCATACGTCTATTTGACTGGAGTACTTAAAAGTCCTTTCTTCTAATTAGCATTTTCAAAGAATACTTAAAATGTACGCCAACTATGCACTCAAGTTATTAACATAGACAACCTTTATTACCTCAAATACACAATAGGGATATTACATGAACGGATATAATGCGTCTGTTTTTGGGTGATGGGAATAGTAGGCCTGTACTTTATATGTTCGCGATTAATGAATTTTTACCAGCATATCCTGTCTTCCATAACAGCTATAACCACACTAGTGTTTATATTCGTTCGAATTTTTATCGAAAGATAGCTTACATAATATATGAAAAATATCACTTCAAATATTGCATTCAAGCTTATTCGGGCACTGTTCCTGGACACAGAGAATAGGCTTGTATCATATTTAAGTCGTCAGCTAATATTCTCATTGGCGAACTCATTTTAAGCCTCCCTCCCTCACTGAAAATTTTGGAAGCAAAAAAAATACGTTCAAGTAGTTAACAACGAGCTACCCTACTTCACCTTCGTGCCCCGATCAGCCCCCACCCCGCTTCCAATACTCCTCACTCACATGCCCCACGTTAATTCTTTGTAACCAGCTAACAATTTGTGGTCGAAGGGGAAAACATTTATTTGTGACAATAATTGAACCCAGAACTCTGGGATTAGAAAGCAAGCATCTGAACCACCAAGACAGCTTCATTCCTGCTGTTTTTTTGGCTGTTTTTTTTTTTTGTTTTTTGTTTTTTTGTTCTCAGATCGTAGCATGTATAGAAATGTTTAGTCATAATGCTGGGTTAGTTTATTATTTATTGAATTATTCAGAAAAATCTGCACCAAGGCGGGAAACCAGAGGTGAATTACAGCTGTGCTTTTATTTGGCCGCCGCCGATTTGAGTTAACCACTTAAAATCAGACGCGTGCTAACGCAACCGTAACTGTTCATAAAACTGAGCCACCAATTGACAAGCGGTTTATACTGTAACAACTGTTCCTTGCGTTTGCGTCAAAACGCGTCTAATTTTGCTCTTAGCGTGAACCAAGCTTAAAGTGTTTGACGTGTGTTATGTAACGGTATGTTGTGTGTGTGAGAATACCGCTTTAAGACGATAATAAGAGAATGTGGATAAGATGCTCTGATGCTGACGATCACTTGCGTCTAATGGAAAAAGGGATTGAAATAATACAAATGATGACGCAATTATGAGCGATGGAAATAATGACATCATCATTCCCAGTGTTAGATTACATCGTTTTGTAGCAACGTATACTGCACGGCGACGTGAAAGGAAATGAGTATAGGATACAGAAGCAAATGACCTATTTCGATATGAATTCATCACGCCTGCTTGCTACCAACACCACGGGCAGTACCATTAATTTCTGGATGATGTGTGGACATTGGCAAATTAAAGCATGATGAATTGGCTACGAAATTTACGATGACAAAAATGTAGAATGGTTATTATCGTTGGTCTTTTTTTTTAAATTACGTTTTAGTATATTCTTTTAAAGTTGTTGGCTATGTAGTTTAAAGACATTACAATCAATGTGCGTGTGGTCTATTCCCAAAGCCAGGCACTCACTCCATCGTACGAGAGTCGTACGACCGTCGGCAGACGAATCCAACTCCGGTCCTTGTGAGCGTTAGACGAAGCGACGCCTTCCGCTGATTATCGGTGGCAGTCTGAACGGATCGTCATTAAGAAACGATTCGTTGCACACGCGTCGTGCAGCTGCGTCCTCAATAAAATTGCGTCGGCCGACGACCGTCAGGCGCACAGCGAGCGGCCCGCTTTGGTCTTAATTTCAATAGAGCCGCAATTCGACGCGTTAAATTAAACGGTTAAAACGTAATATCGTTGTAATAATCAATTGTGTTTTCTGGCGCTCGTAGCCTACCCTTCGTTTTTGTTTTATTTATTTATTTTATTTGTTGTGGGATGGGGGTGTCAAATGGACTTAATGGTGTTAAAAGTTTTTTAATCTTTTATCAACTTATGCGTTGGTTGAATGACATACTACATATGACATACTAATGTATCGATGGTAAATAATTCTACTCTATATACAGTACAGCGTTCTTCCTAAGTGAAATGTTGAACGACGGGAAATTACATCGCACGATTGATAGGGCTATTTACTTTAATCTCGGTAAGTAGGCAAGCCGTAAAATATAATTCACCAGATTTGCAGTGACACCGGAACCGCCAGGGACCCATGATAAAGTAGACTATGACCCCATTTGTCGCGTCCCCCTACATTGGGGAAACCAAAGGATTAGAGGGATAAATTGTTTAAAATGTTAAACAGAAATAATAGGACAACGTGTCTTAAAACAAGCGCCACATGGTTCACTGATCGCATAGTGGCCTACAGTAGTACAGTATCGTTTCATCTTCACAGTGGTATTCGTTCGAAATCATTTCGTCACCATGGGCTACCATCTTAAATGCTTTTAGAAATTTTGACTTGAATGTTAAGCCGAACTGTGTACTGTGTATTAAAGCGCTTCTGAATAGGAAACTAGATTTTGGCGCTACAAATATAACATAAATAAGTAAATGATAATAATAATATATTATAAATATGTAATATACAAATATTGGATTGGATTGGATTGTACCTCTGGTATATAGATGATAAAATATAAGGTGCGTGGCAATTGTTACACTAGAATTCCTAATTCTAATTGGATGTTATTGCATATGGATATTGAAGAATTAAGACAATAAATTTTAATCAGAATTAATAATTGGCTTAATACGGGTATAAAAATAGCCACTGTCTAACATAATGGCATTGATAATGATGATGATAATTCTGATGATAATGTCGATGACAATGGTGGTGGTGTTGATAATGATGATGGTGATGATGACGACGATGATGATGACGACGACGATGTTGATATGAAGATGATGATTATGATGACGTCAATGTGTCTAAGTTACCGTTGTGAACCAAGCGTGAGACCACCACGTCGCTGCCGTCACGTATATAACGTAGGCCTACCAAGGCATTGGCTAAGAATAGGCTTCTATGAAAGTACAGTTATTTTAGTTATAGGCCTATGCCAGTAAAATTGAAACATATTGTTTTAAAGTCGCTTTAATTTCCAATAAATTAGACAACAACAACTGAAGGATTGAATGCGTTGTTGGGAAACACGAATAAGCTTCTGTTAGCCTATACATAATCATTATCGTATGTTTCTGGATATCGAGCATACGAAGCAAATTGAGCATTGCGCTTCTGCTGGAGAATACTATAGGAATAGAGTTACTCGTGACGTTTTTCTAACTCAGAAAACAGATGAAACCTTTGTATTTTTAATTCTACGACTGAAACCGATTGACAGCTCAGTTGTCTAACTGAAGGTCAATTCTATGAAAGAAATATATCTTATAACGACATAATTATAACACACAATAGGCATATTAACGTTACTGTAAAAACATCGTTAATTTGAGATTAATACAGTATTCCGCTTGTCGATTATATTTTATTGATCCGAGTAATTTTTTTTTATCTGGAACCGGTTATCTCCATTTTCTTCTATCCATTACGAAGATGAATTGGATTACAAAGAAAAACAACATGTGACTATAATGTGAAGTTATTACTTTTTAATGTATATTGTAGTGCTAGCCGAAAATAATGTAGATGGTAGTGTTATGTTGTGTAATCAATATCGTAGCCATGTAATCTTGTCTGCCTACGAAATGGAAACATCTTGCTAGTAAGAAAGAATTGTGAACGATGTGTATAACGCAAAGACCAGGAGACACGGGCCTACTCGATGATCCTAAAATACGG